AAGACCTGGAGGTCTGTACAGACAGGCAGTGATGAGGAGGTCATGTGATTGGGTTTACAACCAATGAGAAGGCAGAACAGAAAGTCTATATAAAGACAAACACACAGGAAGTAGCTCTCTTGCTGAAGAGGACAGCAGCAGCAGTGAAGGGTAAGGTTTTTAGCTCTTAGCTCTGACCTCTTGGGCTTTCATCTCTGCATTGGCTCTGTTTCTTATTTAACAAGATGGTTACATCTACAGATATATTTGATGTCTTTCGAACACTTGGTTAGAACTGGGGAATAAGAACATAAGCCTAAGTGAAAACTGAAGACCTTTCAATGGGAAGGGCTAAGCAAGACAATTAAAGTGAATGGCACGAATTCTTTCAGTAGTTTTGTTTTGGGGGCTTAGAGATTTGTGTTTGTTTGCTTTTTAGTTAGCACATAAATATCTTTCATGATTGCATTTTCTTGCATGCTTCGTTTTGGTTGCTCTTCTTCCCTAGCACCTTCCTCCCCCCAACCCCACCCACCCCGTCTCATCGGCCACTTTGTAGCTAAGTAAGCAATTCTGTCAGGAAAAGAGAAGGAAAGATATTGCAAAGTCTGACCACGTGGCCAAGAGGACTGAAACACCAATACCCTTAGCCCCGATGCAGGACAAACGATGTTCTCACAAAAGTAAAACAGGGAGCTGGCAGGGTGGCTGGGAAAGGCACTTGCCGCCAGCCTGATTCAATCCCCAGGACCCACATGCTGGGAAAACAGGACCAAATGCTGCAGGCTGTCCTCTGACCTACATACACACACACATGCACACAATCCCTATATACTAAAAATAAATAAGTGGAATTAAAAAAAAAAAAAGTACAACAGGCTAGTACTTGTTGCTAGGCCTAATGACCTGAGTTTGATCTGGATGGAACCAACTCCCTCAAAGCTGTTTCTCATATCCAGGCATGTACCATGCCACACATGCCCTGCTCCAAACATGTGTCCACACACAGACAAAAATACATACATACATACATAAATGTAAGAAAACAAACTGGCTTGATAGTACATGTCTTCAATCCTCAATTGGAGCTGAGGCAGGAGGATTACAGCTTCACCCAGCCTAAGCTAGAGAGTCAGATCCTGTCTCAAAAGAAAGAAAGAAAGAAAGAAAGAAAGAAGAAAGAAAGAAAGAAAGAAAGAAAGAAAGAAAGAAAGAAAGAAAGAAAGAAAGAAAGAAAGAAAGAAAGAAAAAGGAAGGAAGGAAGGAAGGAAGGAAGGAAGGAAGGAAGGGAAAAGAAAAGAACACCCAATTCTAAATTTAAATCACTTGCAGTTTATATTGACAACAGTAAGTTCCGTGTCTTATCCACAAGCCTATTATATTAAAGCATAGAGCCTGGGTATATGTAAATGTGCATTAACAACAGCCTGGCCAGGAGAGTCCCACACACACTAAAGCTTGAGGCCAAAGTCCATACATGCTCTTATCTGAATATAATTAACTTTAAAGTAGTTAAATATCAATATCAAGATGAAGGTGAATTATATCTTAAAAGCCTATTTTATTAGCCAATTACATTCTATTAACTGACTACAGATAGGCTTAATGAGGCCTCGAGAAAGAGGAACCAGGAGTTTTCATGCTTTTCTCCTTCCTAAATTTCCCTGGTGAGTATCATTTAATTCAATCTATTAAACTAGAAAGCATGCATATATACATCACAGAACTTAATGTTATAAGTCTTCCCAATTGTCCTATGTCTCATGCATTTTTACCATTATAAATGAACCTCATAATGGATAAAGTACGTGGTTTTTTAGTCCTAAATGGAAATGAGTTCAATAGATCAGTATGTTGGAGAACTATCAGAGCTGAAGCAAGACTTTCATGATATTAACCTTACACATTAAAGAAACGTACCAATCGCCTCCTCATAGGATCTCTCCTGGAGTTACTACAAATTAACTCTGAGACACACACACACACACACACACACACACACTGCTGGCTGGTTTCATATCAACCTGACACACAAACTAGAGTTATCTGAAAGGAGGGAACCTCAGTAGAGAAAATGCTTTATGATGGCTATTCTTGCTTGTCAGCTTGACTATATCTGGAAGGAACTATAATCCAGATGTAGAGGGCACACCTGTGAGAGATTTTCTGCTTGGTTTGAAGTGGGTGAATCCACTTCTAGTCTGGACCTTTGAGAAGAAAAGACACACTCCTTTGGTCTAGATCTTGAGGTAGGAAGACATACTTTAATCTGGGCCATATCTGCTACTGGAAGCCTAATAAGGATAGAGAAGAAGGAAGCTTTGATCTTTGCCTGCCTCGCCTCACCTGCTAATACCACCCTTCACTGGCATGGGAGCCTTATTCTTTAGGATTCCAGCACATGTAGAAGACAAGCTGAGACACCTAGCTTTGTGGGGCTGAGCAACTACCACACTCTTGAACTTTCTGTTCACAGCTAGCCATTGTTGGATTATTTGGACTGAAGCCTGTAAGTCATTTCAATAAATTTCCTTATATATATATATGGAGAGAGAGAGAGAGAGAAAGAGAGAGATTCAATCCAAAAGTTCTGTGACTCTAGAGAACCCTGATTAAACAAGCCTCTGTAAGATCCGGCTACAAAGCATTTTCTTAATTACTCATTGATGGCACCATTGTGGGTAGGGCCATCCCTGGGCTGGTGGTCTTGGGTTCTATAAGAAAACAGACTGGGCTGGAGAGATAGCTCAGAAGTTAAGAGCACCGACTGTTCTTCCAGAGATCCTGAGTTCAATTCCCAGCACCCACATGGTGGCTCACAACCATCTGTAATGAGATCTGGCGCCCTCTTCTGTGTACATAATAAATAAATAAATCTTTTAAAAAAAAAAAAAAAGAAAGAAAGAAAACTGACTGAGCAAGCCATGGAGAGCAAGGCATTGAGCAACACCCCTTCATGGCCTGTACATCAGCTCCTGCTTCCAGGTTCCTGCTCTTTCAGTTCCTGTCCTGACTTCCTTTGATGATGAACAGTGATATAGATGTGTAAACCAAATAAGCCCTTTCCTCTCTAACTTGCTTTTTGGGGTCATGGTGTTTCATGGAACAATAATCACTAAGACACACACACACACACACACACACACACACACACACACACACACACACACACGAGTAAGCAATGACAAGTTCAGATCCATGCACTATACCCCACCTGTAGCCCTGCCTGGCAGGAGATAAGACACTAGCCTGGGTGGAAAGCTGAAAAGCAGATGGCCACAGCACCGCCTGAGTTTTGGCAGTCCTGGGAAGACTACACAGATACTTTTCTTAATTCCTCAGACAAAAGGTACTTATTTCCAGAGGCAACACCACAATTAATTCCCTCCAGGCAAGAGCCAAAGGAACTACAGAAGGAAAGCGGCATGGAGATCTGCCACTTCCATCGGCCTCTGTTCAGTCGCAAACATTTGCGTGTTTACAGTACTGACCGCTCAAAAACAAAGGACTTCCACTTGTGAAGGGGGAGACGCCCAGCTGACTGTACACAACACTGGAGTGCAGACAAAATCCCTCTGGCCGCTGCCCAAGAGATTTACATTTCTTCCCACCTTGGGAAATATCACGTGGCCAAAAACAATACGAGCAAGATATGATGTGTGAAGTTCTAAATGCTGCCCTCACAAAGACAATAAACGATGAAGCTGGAGAGCCAGCTTAATAGTGAAGAGCAGATTCTGATTGGTTCCCAGCACCCACATCCAGTAGCTCACAATCACCTGTGACTCCAGTTCCAGGAGACCTGATACCCTCCTCTGGCCTCAAAGGCACCTGCACACATGTGATAGACACAAACACACATAGGCACACACATGCACATAAAAATAAATCTTTATTAGCCAGGCAGTGGTGGAGCACACCTTTAATCCCAGCACTCACTCGGGAGGCAGAGCCAGGTAGATCTCTGTGAGCTCGAGGCCAGCCTGGTCTACAGAGCGAGATCCAGGACAGTCACCAAAACTACACGGAGAAACGCTGTCTCAGGGGGAAAAAAGTCTTTTTTTTTTAAGATAATACATTAAATAACTAAAGATATTTGAAACCAACCCTACTTCTGCTCCCAGAACAGATTTCTATATTCTTTTCTCATTCTCTCTACCAACAATAATTGTTATGGATATTTACCTGGTGGAGAAGAAAATGATTTCTCTCAAACATAACTCAGGAAGATCTGTAAAAATTTCCAGCAAAAGTACACACTATGTTCATGGGGTCACTTCCACATCTTTTCTACAAGGAACTGTTCCTTTGTAAAAATCATTAACATTCATTACAATAATTTTATCTCTTCCCAAAGAGTTTTCAGATGCCGGATGCTTTCTTTGGTATTACAAAATCATTCCACACATGCAAATTTATGTCGCTTTTTTCACTCAATATTACATTTTGTTGTCTGTCTGTCTGTTTATTGTTGCTGATGATGATTTTTTTGTTTTGTTTTGTGAAACAAGTTCTCACTATGTAGCCCCAGCTGTAACTCACTATGCAGACAATGTTGGCCTCAAACTCACAGACAACCACCCGCCTCTGCCTCCTGAGTGCCAAGATTAAAGACATGGGCCACCACATCCAGCCATTGTACTGTCATTATCCAGGGAGTGGTCACATTAATGCTGAGCATTTTCTATTGGTTAGGTGGGAACACACTTAATCTTTATTACAGACCGGTCAGCGCTTCCATTGCTATCTCCCGGGGACGCTGACCATCCAGCCCCAGTGCGCAGCAGGCTGGGGACTCAGACTAACAGCTGCCTCCACTGGACTCCTGGGATCCGCATGCTGCACAGCCTTCTGAATTCTTTGCTTACATGGGTGATGCGCTCTAAGCCAGCCCAGTGAAATTTTACCAAAGAAGCCAGTCTCTCCTTCATTGGCAAAATTCAAGGTCTTCCCAGAAAAACAATTAATGAGTAACAACCAATCACAATAATCACGATTCCAAAGGTAACGCGCAGACTCACTTGTAACTTTCCACTTGTCTGCAAGAGGAGACCGTGATGAAGGAGTCAGTGCGGGGACTGTAAGCAAGAGGGCCAGGCAGAAGAGAACCCGGGAGAAACCTGCCGAAAGCATAGCTTTCCTGCTCAAACACCATCAGCATCCCATCCATAGACTGGATACAAATTAAATCTCGACCTAAGGAAGAATTAGAAGAAATTAGATACCTTATTTTGATAAATTTAATGTTTAATAATCACTATCCTGCTCAAATATATCGCAGTTAACTTTTACCCGCCAAGGCAAATTCAAGATAGTTTCAATTTTAAATTATAACCCAGTGAAAATATCAGGTTAATAATATCAATACATATGCGCATGCCCCAGTTTTTATATTCATAAGATGTTTAAACTTTAATTGTATATTCATTTTATAGTCATTAGGTGTTCATACTTTTAATAACACTTCTTTTATATATTATAAGCCCAAATCCCCAATTTCAAAATAATCCCTAAGAACCATTATGTTTCAAAGATACTGTTTTTCCTAAAATCTGACATACAACAAAAATAGTTCTTGCGGGGTAGTGGTGGCGCACACCTTTAATCCCAGCACTCACTCAGGAGGCAGAGCCAGGCGGATCTCTGTGAGTTCAAGGCCAGCTTGGTTTACAGAGCAAGATCCAGGACAGGCACCAACACTACACAGAGAAACCCTGTCTCAAAAAACAAAAAAAAAAAACAACAAAAAAAAATAGTTCTCCAGGGAACTATTTCTCATTGTCATACGTCTGTCTCATGCTTTGCTGTGACTTAGACATCAAACTGCACACAGGGAGCCAGGGGTACCAATCAGGAGTAGAGTACATACAGAGCATGCAGCAAGCTCTGAATTCAAACCCCAACACACAACACACTAGAACACAAACACACACACCAAATGCATATGCACTCGTGCATGCGCGCGCACACACACACACACACACACACACACACACACACACACACACACACACTCATACACCAGATCACATCCACAGACTGGTTTTAGGTACTAGTTTTGTATAAACCACAGTAATAGACAGTATTGAGAGTGAAAGCATTAATGCTGAAAGATTTATTCCTGGTTACCCTACAAATTGGCTTTGGAGATGCCTTCCACTGTTAATATATCAGTTTTGGTTTTAATACTTCTTAAAATACACTGAGATGAAGATGACAATTTCCATGACATAGTACACAGCCCCTAATCTGAGATTGAATAGTATAGTTCTGCTTATGTGATTAGTGTAGACTAGATCTTGTGACAGAATGCTATAATCATTCTTTCTTCAGCATGTCAATCATGAGTTATCAGCAGACACACAGCTCTCCCAAGTAAAGCATACTTCTAGTCCTCTGTTAGAGACACAGTAATTAGAGACACATAATTGATGTTGGACGACCTTACTGAGAGATGGTGCTGAAGTATCTGTGGATGACAGGATGCAAGGCATTCAACTTTAAACACTGCAAATCAGCCACTGTAACTGCTGGCTACAGGTGTGATGTAAAGTCCTCAGAGCCACTGCCCTAATGTGACAGGACAGGAAACAGGAAGAAAACCTGAGCCCTGGAGAAAGCTAGCACCTTTGGCTCCCCTGAACACAGCAGAAAGGTTTCATTTCCTGAAGCTTCAGCAGCAAAGAGGAAAATACTTAAACTGTTGAGTCCGAGGCACACAATCTAGGTCCGGGGCCAGCACACCAGTCACTACTCTATGGTTGGATTGCAGTCTCCCAGTCCGTCAGTTAGCACACCTACCTCACTACCTTCTACAACAACTAATTTCGTAAGAAAATTAGACCCAGAGGTGGAAACTCCCCAACCCCTTCACCTTATTTATAGCCTCTTGAAGTCACATACGAAGCATCTAATGCTGCACAGCCTGCAATTTCCTGCACGCCTCACGATGACACCCGGGGCTCCACTTTTGCTTATGGTAGCTCCTCGTCCTTGCACTTTTCCTGCCTAGTCTAGTGAAATCCTTTTGCTTTCTTTTGCTTTAGCAAACATTTGCTAGCTGCTTCTTGGTCATCCATGCCCCACCCCCGCCCCCCTGCCCCACCATGCTTAATTTTAAGGTTTGGGGGGAAGGACCTCATTCTGAATTTTAAAATAGTCCTTGACTTATGTAAATTACTTAGCAATGCCTAGTCATAGCTCAAGGAGAGGTAGAGTTTACAGTAGAGGAGAGAAACCGAAATCCCTAAAACGAGCTGCAAGTAAAGACACGTGGGAGACCATCAAATCAGAGGCCATTTGGCTTTTCAAAGAGCAAAGTTAAGATGGAAGACACTGTCTCAGTCTCATCTGGAGCTTAGCCTCTGAATTCTGCAGGCAAGAAATCTGCATAAACGATGGGGGAACGTGGAGTTGAGTCTCTGACTCTGGACCAGATCAGGTCTTCCCATAAATCTCCCTTTTCCCTTCTACCATCCTTTGTCAGTGGTCTCTCAGAAGCCCATCCATATCCTCATCTTAAACAAATTACCTATTAAAATGATCTTGTTTTGTATCTCTCTTTAACTCTAACCTCAAAAGCAGAAACCCTGTGACTCAGCTGTGTGAACTATAAAATGTCTGGCACTGCAGAGATCCACTAAGAAATGTCTTTTGAGGTGGAGTAAGCTAAGCAAAATAATTTACTCATCTGCACTTCAGATTAGCTAGGATTTTATTCTACATATCTCACACACATCATCTGAAGTATGTAAAAAATGCTTTATTTATTACAATCTTGGCTACTAATATTTAGTAAAATGTAGAGATCAACCCAAAACATAACTCGAAAATAAAAAAATAAATCTTTTGAATCACTGCTTTGGAAACCACTTGAGAACACATACCAAAGGCTCTTCTTACAGATAATGAGAACAGAAAGAATGGTCCGTGAAAGCTCCGAGAGTATTCTGGGTCTTAGAGAGCAGAGCCAACAGAAAGTGATGGGGTCCCGGGACAATTTCAAAAACACAGTGATGGGCCATGCTGAAGGGTCCTGACACATGACGAGCATTATAATAAAAGCTCTAATGTGCTTGTTTATAAAGCCTGAAATAAAACTAACAGAATAATAACAATATTAAATAATACTGTCATTTATTACATATCTATTAGAATCCCAGCCTTGTGCTAAAGAATTAAGCAGCATGTTAGCTGCAGTTGTCAACAACTCTAAAACTTAGGCAATGCTCCCACTTTTTACATTAAAATCTAAAACTCACAGAGCTTAATTAATTCACTTAATGTCATAGAATTAGGAAGCGACAGAAGTGCCTGTCTCTACTGAAGTACACTGACTTCTGTGGAGAGAGAGTCACATCACGAAATGAGCACCCAGCATGTAAGTGATGCGCAAAGGACTGAGCATCATCACAGGAGATCTCCCAGAAGGGCCTCCTGATAAAGGTAGGATGCATCAGCACCTGAAAGGATGAGCAGAAACAAAGGGTCAAGGTGAAAAAAGAGCCAGTGTCTGGGAGAGCAGTGAGTGTCTCAGAAGCAGCAGCAGAGGCGGTGAGACCTGATGAACAGAGCAGTGGGTCGAGATTCAGCCAAGGCAGCAGAAAAATGAAGGCCACAGATTGAAATACAGCATAACATTCTAATGATATTCCTCCAAAATTACAACTTTTAACTAGAAATTATTTAAGAAAGTTGAAGTTCTCATCATACTTTGGACAATTATCCCATTAATCTCAAATAGAACAGAGCGATCATATAGTTTTAAATATTTGTAAGAGCTGAGAAGAAATTGAGAAAAGGTCTAATAAGCCCATTTTGAAAGGATTTTCAAGTTAATATTTTTTTCTAATTTTTAAAAGCAAAGAAAAAAATTGTGCCTATAGGGATGAAGAATGGAAACTGTTCCACTGTGGAGGCTTCATGAACTGAATACTAATTAAACAGTGTATCTTGTTTCCTGATGATAGAATATACAGTCAAAGTGCTAATGTGATACATAAAATAGTAATCAATTACATGTTGAACTGACTACTAGATGAACAGTTTAATAAATTATAGCCTAGTCACTAAAATGGTGTGTAGGAGTGTGTTTGTATGGTCATTCCCAGAAATTCTTTCTACCATGCAGGGCCCAGAGAATTTTCTATCACTCACTACCATGGCAACAAGGGCCCTGAAGAAGGCACTCCGGGATACCATTTCCTGCATCTCTCTAGTAAGTGGAGGGACATGAAAGACAACCTCCATTACTCAGTAAGCTGCACGTTCTCCGAATCTGTCTGTGCTCATATTTCTTGTGCACACTGAGTGAAAATACCAGTGAAAAATGCAAACGTGACCTGCAGCCAAGCATATATCGCTCTTCAGCATGCAACTGTCAAGAGTATTTGGTCTTTCTCCAAGTCGGAAAAACACATGAGAAACATCTGCATAGGTAGTCAAAAACACAGACAGGACACATCAAGAGACTGATACACAGGAAGAGAAGAGTCCAGAAGTCTGTGGGACTTCCGCTCTTTTTACACAGGAAAAAGGTTGTGTTGTTGTTACAAAAAAAATCTGAAATACTAACTCATTAATCTTTAAGCAAGTCTAAGTCAAAAATGATGAAATGTGTCTGCTGAGAGAAAAAAGGAAAAAGTTCAGAGTAGGATTCCAAAGCACATTGCTTAAAAGCAGCTAGCACATGGATTTCAAGCGTTCTCTAGGTTGTAGATTTTCCATTAAACATTCTTTTATGCTTTTCCCTCCTACTATGGTGCAAATAAAATGACCTCCATCTCTTGGAGATGTGCACAGCTCTTGGGCTTTACTGAACTGCAAACAATTGGTAACTGCTTGAAGACAAACAGAGCTCAACTCTATCATTACTGTGGCAGTTTGAAGGAGAACAGCCCCATAGACTCACATGTTTGAACACTCCATCCCCAGTTGGTGAACTTTTTTGGAAGGATTAGGAAGTGTGACCTTGTTGGAGGAGGTGTGTCAGTGGAGGTGGGTTTGAGGTTTCAAAATACTCTGACCATTTCAAGTCCATTCGTTCCTCCCCTGCCACCCCAACACACACACACACACACACACACACACACACACACACACACACACACACACACACACACACACTTCCACTTGTGATCAAGGTGTAAGGCCTCAGCTGCTCTTGTCACCAAGCCTTTGCTCCAACATCTTTGATT